TGCATCATTCGAACGGGCATGACTAGTGGAATAATGGACTGAAGACCGTTTCTCGATATGACAAATATATATTTTTTTATTTATAACAGTTTAAAGATCAGTGACCCACCGATTAAGATCAACCCTATTGCTTTATTTTCTCTAGTTTACATTGAAAAATGCTACAAATTTGGTAAAATAAATAACTTAGTGTCCCTCACAATCGTATCGTTTTGTATTTGTTTTTTTTCGCTTTTAAAACGATAATTTGATGTCTTGAATAATCGATTACGTAAATTTTTTGTGACGTCATAAAATGTTTTTTCTTGCTTACAAAGGTGTGAATAGCTTTGATTCAGAATTTTTAACTATTCCTGTTATGCTCATCCAAGGCAGTCAATCTGCAACATAAGTAAAGTAGCTAATTCGAAAACAGAAGTAAAAATTTCAAGATTTTTATTAAGGGGGGGGGGGGGCACTGTTTTTGTTCTGAACGTTCTTTAAAACTCAAATGGTCATATCTCCTTTAATATTTAAGATACCAACAAGTTGTTTTCAGTTCTCAAATACTCTTGTTTCTATCTTTCGAAAACAGTGAAAAATGTTGGAATTTACGAGCTTAAAATTAAGAGATGATGTGACGTTATCGTTTATGACGTTATCGTCTGACATGCGCTGTAAATTCTGCTGCGAAATAGAAACCTGCCTTGCACCTCTCCTGAAACGCCCCTGACAAAGCAAGGTCGAAAATCGCAACGAATATCTCTTCTTTACAATGTTTGTCAGCTATATTCAACAACCATGCTCGACATTGTTTAAATTGCATCCTCCTAAACCAACTTATATTGTCAATTTCATCTCCTAGGTATCCTCTTAATTCACGTACAAGAGGTATCAAAACCTCTTCATTCCAAGAAGCAACTGCTCTGTTGGTTTCAGGGTTTAGGCAAGTCCCTGATAATGAGAGCAATAGCTATGTATTTTTACCTTGTCCTCTGGGGACCTTTCTGAAGCCTTCATCAACAGCAAAACAACCATGCATAAAATGCCTGCCAGGTATATTTAGACACTTCACACAGCTGGTTTTCAAAATTATCCTCTAACATAATAAAGCGAGTAAATCGCAACGAAGCAGCCTTTGTACCATGTTTRGTAGTTTTGTTACTTTGAAAGAATTTAAGAATACTTCTGGGCCAACAAACCACGTTTCATTTCCTTTACAGGTCTTTTGTGACGTTTTTATCATAACACTGAGAAGTAGTTAGCTACGAATAGATCGTTTTCACTGTCACGCAAATAAAAAAATAAATCGAAAACCATCCAGTGGAAAAAGCTATGAACTTAC